ATTGGGTAACGTCTGATAAGCACAGTATTGCTGACCTTGAAACAATCTAACTGGTGACCCCTCGCAAAATACAACCGCCAAAACAGCTGTTTAAATAGACAGACGACACTTTGTCGAGCTGATCTTTGAAGATATGCTGTTTTTACCTACCTCTATGACTTATTAATGAATAATATTATAATAGATCATGTGGGCACGCGAGTTGTATTTGGGTGACAGTTTTTACGCCGAGTCATTGTAGTATAATAATTATAACGACGTAAAAATAAATAACATTTAGTAATGTGATACCTTAATGTTATCATAGAATAAATGCATGCAAAGCTGACATTAATCATTGTATTCAAACAGTAGTTAAAGTTTTACAGTAAGGACGAACTATCAGACGAGTAGAAGATTTTAATCTAGCAACCTTTAAACTCAGATTGTCACTAAACCTTTAGAACTCTTAAATCAAGTGTTTTAGAAGTTTTACTTCTTTGTTTGTTTTTCTTACTTCATGGGGTATCTTGCTTTTTCTTTCTGTAAAAATGATGTAAGGGTTAACAAGTTTAACTTAAAACGCATTTGAATGTAAATATAGCAAATAGTATTTTACGTTGCGTCAGTTGAAATAAATTGAATTTTCATTTCTTAATATAATTAACTAACTTATTTTTAAAGTTGTAAACCTGATTATTTCAAGGTTGTATGAGTCATTTTTTCATGGGAAATTTTGATATTACATTAACATATATTCTATTGGCGCCAAAGTCACGACACACGCGGGTCGTCTTAGAGTTGTAATTAGATACATGTACTTGTTAGCTATTGTTTTAGATGTTTTGTTGAAGATATAAACAGATGGCCCCTCTAGTATACTGGAATAAAAGACTGATAATTTGATAGGCTTACAAGATAATTCAGTTGATAAGTGTTCCATAATAGAATCTTATCTTCGTCAATATCTAAACCAATGAATTGTCCCTGAAAACAAGTATATACAATAGGTATTTAATTTCAACGTAATATGGCTTAAGTCACCCTTTCTTCACTCCTGTGTTTAAATTAAGTAATTATATACACTAGTCATTCATTGTAATTTACTACTATAATTGTAGCGTACGCTCATCTCTGACCCAGCTTTAAAGTATTAATAAATTAAATACAAAACTCTTATTATGTCTAATAGACAGTTGATAATAGTTACAATCTTATCTGTCAAATCTCTTTATTTTCAAAGTCACGCCTATTACAACTTGTTAACGATTTTTTTTAAATTGCGTGTCAAATTTAAAGGGACTTTTTACAGGTATCATATCATCATTAAACAGGGAAACCTACATGTTGCAAAAAAATAAATAATTACAATTACGATTTTTATAAACTTAATACTCACAATTTACTTTCTCTCATATTTTCGTAAGCATCGGTGGTTCAGTGGTAGAATGCTCGCCTGCCACGCGGGCGGCCCGGGTTCGATTCCCGGCCGATGCATCTTTTTTTATTGTATAAATTTTCTTCCTGTAATTTTTTTTATTTTGAGCGCTGGAAACATTTTTGAATTATAAAGAAACGAACATATGCACCTATTTTTCAACAAACTAGGTCATGAGACAAAAGTTTCAATACTTCTGTAACCACACTATTCTCTGTCAGTTTAAAACGATTTGATCTAATAAAGATTTACTGACAGATAAACATGCATGACATAATAAATATGACAAACAAATGAATAGCGGGGTTGTCAACCTCTTCATGAGATCATTTCTCCTTTAAATACCCGATTGAAGGGCGGTATTAATCTAGTAGCAGTAAATCAAACATTTATTTAATTATTGCATGACTCAATTATGCCTCTAGCTACATGTCATGTTTCATCTAGAGCTTGTAATCGGTCCAGTTGTTTGTACTAAATGAAATGCTTAGCTGGGAATCGTGTTAGGGCGATGACCGTTTTATCCTTATCAAATAATTCTTCAGGGCAATGCAACCTTTCCCTTCGTATGCTTTATTTTTACATTGTAGAATTGTATTTACTAAGGTGTGCTTAATATTGCATTTGAAGGGTGGAATTAATTCACTTATTTCATTAAATCTCTAATGAATTTGTAAGTAATTAATGTCTTCCAACAAAATTGATTGTATTTCACTGTATTTCACCTTTTCCCCGTCAGTCATGCTATTTGTTGAGATGTAGACTCTTTAAGATCAAATCATATTCTTGTCTTGTAGAATGAAACCATAAATCAAACATACGTAAACGTCATGCAGCATAACCCAACCCTCACAACCCCATCCTCACCTCAGAGGACTTTTACTCCTAGTTAAATGCCCGATCCTTCGGAAACGGAGATGGTAACATTTTCCTTAATGCATCACACTGAAACGTAGCTTATTGTACGCCAAGATGAAACGACTGGATGGACCCGAAGTTGAGGTGACAAGCGGATGATAATACTTGGTTCTTCTTATAATTCTCTGGTGCATTATATGGACATCATATATTAGTACATGTATATCATATCAACTAAGACAAAAAGTAACAACGTCCATACTTTATTACGTTCATTCGCAACAACTCATCCTTACGAATCATGACGGAAATGGCCGGACAGTTGCTATGGATATATATAGAATGAAATGAGTATGCCCCATGAGTCACCAACTACCCGTTGTGGCCGTATGCGATCACCACCCAGCAACACCCATCTTAGTCATGTCATCCTGATCATATCATCTTTCACTTCCTTGAAGACGAACTTTCTTTTAAAGCAACATTTTTTTCTCAATGTTTTCTATTAGTACTGTATATAGCAAACATTCGGAAAACTATTATTGTACAAGTGTGCTACTTCTAGTACATAAAAAATTATTTTCATTCACATTTTTTTTATTGTTAAGTGCGTACATTCACCTTTATGGTTTTATAAAAAAGGCGTTTGCGACTATTTACCAATATACTAGTATTGATACACAATACACATAACATAACAATAGAAGTAAAGTAAATGCTGGGAAGAAATAGCCGCCTGGAGATGTTCCAAAAACCACAATAGGTATTCAATGGTCATCGACACTGGTCCGTGTATCAATTATTACGCTCCGCAAAATAAACAAATTATTAATTGTACCCCGATGAACAATTTCATTGCGTTTTATTAGTAATATTTTTATATTTGTATTATTTGAACTGCCCACGCGTTGATCATTATCATAATTTTTGTTTGCACAATAATATAAGGACCACAAGTTAGTCATTTCTTTTTCATTTGTTTCCTTATCACATCGATACGTAAATTATATTCAGTTTTAATACCGTGGAATATTTTTAAATGCGTTTAGAGAAGTTAGAAAGAAAAAGGTTGTTCCCTTTTATTTTAGTTGTTTTTGTTAAAAAGTTTCACACGCTCTTTTACTTACCATGGAATTTGATCACTGAATAAACTGTTTCTTGAAAAAAAATCAATCAAAATTTATCGATATTTAATGTTAAGTTCATCGATCAACATCAAAGAGAAAAAATAATTTTCTTAAATAATAATGAAACTCACAAATCATGCCTTGCTGAAATTCAATTCTATGAGAAATTTTGAATTATCAGTAAAATCTAAACGTCCTGACAGATGCCAGTTATTTACCAAATGAACTTAAGAAGTATCCTTTTTTATAAAAAATGAAAAGAAAACAATAAAATCAATCAGACGGCAAAAAAATCACTTTGTAAAATAAACTGCAGGTGTTTTGTCATAATACAAAATGTAAACGAATTAATAGGATCTCATTGATGGCTGAGCTTATGTATGGCCCTACAGCGTTTGAAAGGGACACCTGATATTTTCATTTCTTCGGCAATGTCGTGTGAAAATCGAATTAAATCAATTTCACGATTTGAAATGTGATACTATCAAACCGTTAAGGAGGTTGCATTTATATCAAGTACGATCAACGGCAGCATTAAAGATGCTTCTTAAAAAGAAGTTGAAAACTTTAACCCTCCTACCGTATTCAATGGCAATAAAATTGTAATTAAACGCTCGTGTTATTAAGCAAACTTAAATTGTAATCGACAATTTCTATGGATAAAAGTGTTGCAACAGAATCGAAATAGATTCACATTTAAACAAATTGCTTGAAATACTGCATGAAAAACACGATAAATTCATGACTCGAAACTTATATCATAGAATTTGTTTTGAGCAAACCAGATCATAATGCCATCTTCTAAAATTCGAAAATATCCTGTCTTTTTTTTGTGGGGTTGGGGTTGGGGAAATTGTTGGGAATGGTATTTTCAAATATCAGCTTTCCTGATTAAGAGCCCATCAGTGAAACAGACATCGAAGTTGAACCATGTCCGTAACATTGTTTGATAGCTCCCTCACGTGGAAGAATCCAGTCAGGAAATTTCACCGTCATTTTCTTATGTCATTTCAAATTCATAAAGAGAAAAAATCGCAGATAATGAATGTCATAGTTTTAAGCATGGCGTTGATATCTTGTTGGACAGAAGCAGAATGTCTTGTCAATATTATATCAATACCACTTCCCACACTTATTCGTTTGGTCATGCCTTATTTGTTTGGAATATATTTTTAAGTTTTATTTAATCAGAGTAACCGTTTTATGCATACTGTAAAAATATTGTTAACTGTTAATCTCTCCATATCCGTTATGCAAAAACTTGCTTCTGTTCAAGGTAATTGGACAGACAAAAATTAATTATAAATATCCAGGACACTGCCTCTATACATAGGTTAATGATCTATAGAACATACATGACAACTATCTCATGAAAACATTCTTACATAACAGCTGGCTGCCAGCAAATTGCAAAAAAATATCTCTAATTGTCCATCATAAATGTTGCCTTGACACTTCTTTTTTCTGAAGAACGTAATACGTACGTAATACGTTTATTTCTTTATTTAAGTCTCATCGTACATGGACTGTCGGTACTAGGGGAGATCACCATTGCGTTTGACGTTTGGTATGTGGTGTTAAAAGTACATAACAAAATACATTATAAACATAGTTTTATTCAAAATGGAATAGTAGAAAATAAATAGGAACAATACAAAACGTGACAGTTCACACAATATATCTACTAAGATACATGTACATCATATAATACATGGGGAATATACTGAACAATTCATATAACTGAATTATACAAGTTTATAAACAGAATACAAGTCTCTTTAGAAATTACTACACTGTTGTATACTGCTTTACAAGATTTTTTCTCTCAAAATTTACAGAATCATGGGTCTATATTGACTTCCAGCATTCAATATCAAACATCCTATTCTATATGATATTGAACTAAAGTCAGCGAAGAATGAAGTGTAACAAAAGTCACCACCTAGTAGGTTAAAATAACTTATTTTTCTCTACAAGTTTCAATCATAACAATGATCAGGAAAAATGTGATATTGGTTTAAACTTTCATCAACTAAATGACATTTTTTTTGGACAAAATCACTAGAAATAGTCAGTCATCAACTGTACAGAATATAACATTTTTACAACATTGGTTTTCATAATGGAAGAAGAAAGTAAAGGCCATTTTCAGTCAATTTAAAGCATTTTATTCAATTTTTATAAAAATAAATGTTTAAGTTACCAGTAGTGATCACTGAATCTCTAAATTGTAAACTAAATCAATATAAATTTATATAATAATTTAAAGACATATCTAACAGCATTTCTGTCATACCACAGATTTATAGTAATATAAATCTGTGGTCATGCACAGCTTTTATTATTACATTCTACTGGTGTTGCTTATTTGTCACTTTAACATATTTTTAATGTCAGGTCTGCAAATATTCTATGCTATTTAAGGAACAAACAAATCTTTGCAAACAATTAAAAAGCCATATTTTTTCATTTATACAGATTGAATTTCCTATTGTATACAAATTGTTTCCATGTTTATACATGTACATGTTTATATATATAATTGTTTGTATACCCAAGAAGTAATTCCGTCTAATTGTACAAAATATACAAATATATTACATTTTACAAATTTATATATGTACATACAGCCCTATAGTGTAAACATACATAATTCTATCATTCTTAAAACATTAATGCCAGGCATATAAAGAGAGTTAAACACCTTAACTTTCTTTTTTCTTTTCATTGCATAAATGCAATAGTACTAACAGGGAACTAAGACATGTCAATCAAATCACAGGTAAAGGGAGATAATTACAGTAATAAAAGAATTCATCCCATTTTAGTGAAAATTTGATCTACATACATAACTTTAAATGTTGATAAAGAAAATTCATTTATGTTATTGTATTTGTTTGGTAATTATTTCAAAATATGTTTTAAAGGAAAAAATAAATGGCATCTTTTGAAGCATTATGGATAGAGTTGTGATTGTGGGATAATTCATTATTATTTCATATTACTTATAATGAAAACTCTCATTAACTAAACTACAACTGAAAACTGTCAACATGAAAAATAAAATGATGTTGTTGGTTTGAAAAAAGAAAAAGCATACAGAAAACATGTACCTATATAAAATATTGCACCAAAGGAAAGTAATAACACACAAGATTATAATCTCAATGAAAGACTCTGTAACAAACATAAAACTACAAAATAAAATAGGCAGCTAGACTTGCCACACATTTCCACTAACAACTACAATAAAACTTACAATATATCACACAACCAGTCATTGATTGACTAACTGTGTATCAACTTAATTTATCTCTTATTCCACAAAATTATTGTTTCATTCTAAGAAAAAACAAAACAAACAAAAAAGCCAAAAACAAAAATAATATTTTTTTGCAGATCTTCAAATATGGCTGACATAAAATCTTTTGATGCAGTTATGATAAATGTATAAGTATTTTAAGGACATCCTTGTTAAAAATACAAAAGGGTACAGTCCAAGGGAGATAATCAAATGATATGTGTTCAAATACAACTGCATACATAACAACGAAAAAGAAACTATTCCTTATTTTAAAAAAGGTCACACTGTTCAATATACAAGTATATAAAATACAAACAATGCATGCATGCAAGCATTCAAATATTTCATCAACTAAATTGTTTTGAGGATTTATAACTTAATATTATAAGATGTTGTTTTTTTATAGATCGAAAGACAATGCAACATTTACCAATGATTCAAATAAAACCTAAGTTAATCAACCCAAGTTAATCAATACAGAAATAGAAATATTTTAGCAATATCTTTATTGCCATATTAAGGTTGTTGTCAATTGACATCTGTTACATTTAGTTGACAACTGAAATCAATTTTTTTTCTCCTGTACAAACAAAGTGCACTAACATTTAGCAAAGTCATGATCGAAATTAATTCAAATACTGAAAAAAACAACAAAAAACGATGATAAATGATTTAGCTCCACATCTATACTGAAAAAGGAGAAAAATAAATTCTTCTTCTTAGCAAAGAATGAGCACCTAAGTTACCTTACTTTGTATTCTTAATTGTAAGTGTTACTAACACACTTAGCATGCTTCTATTGCCGAAATATGAATCAGAACACTGTCTTGGCTTGAAGACAAAAGTGGATACGGCTAAAACTTCATTGTTATAGCAGCTTGAAGTGAATTCTTCATTACTAAGAAATTGTGGTAGATAAAACTTCATTTGTAGATTTCAATTCATAATCCTTAATTGTACACTAGATCAAGTCTCTGAATTATCTGCAACCTTATGACAAAATGTTTACTTGTTCAAATTACCGAGTAAAATATTTTTTGTTCACACTTGGTCCCTGCAGGCTAGCTACCTTGTATCATCAATAATTTTGTGTCCAAACTTTTAACATCAATTCACGCGCTCTCTTGATGTATTAACTTGTGCCGAGATTCTTTTACGATTTCGTTTCATTTTGGCAAGATCGTCTCCAAATATATCTCCTGTTCTAAGTGCAGACACAAGATCATCAAACTCTCCTGAAAGTATAAACAAGGCAATGAGTGATCAGCTTTTGTTACCAGTATAAAGCCAGGCCAGCCTGTACATCCATATAGGCTCTACAATTCTGGATGACTATCTTTAGATTTACATCTTGGTATCCCTAGAATTGATAATGGACAGTCCCAAAAGTGGAAGCTGGACAAGTCAATTTAAATAATTCTGCAGATAATGGATTCAACCCCTGGAATGCTATGGAATCCTGTAATTAAATTTTCAACTGGAATCATGAATGTTCCAAACTGCACTAGCCAGATTGGCTGGTAAACATTAAATGTTGAAATATCAAAAATGAAATATTTACGTTTTATTGGACATATAGCTGATTCTAATTTCTATAAATAAATGGAGTAACATATGTAACATAAACTGACACAAGTGTAAAAAGGTAGCAAGATGAATGTGATGTAATGACTGAACTTTTTCCCTCATTCTATTTGAGTGAATTATTCTTAACAAAATGTTTGTTCTTTGGTACAAAATAATGGGACCAGAGTTAAACAAATCACTAATTTATAAAATAGGTAACCAATAAGATTCAACTGTACATTTCAACTCCCATTACCACTTCAAAAAACACCTTTAAATGTATTAAATTTAAATGAAAATTGCATTAAAACATGATCATTTAATTGCATTAAAACAAAATCATGATTTAGAGATATGAAACTGTTTGCAAGAAGACGTTGAAATTATATTTATAATTCTGCCTTTTCCCATTTTATTTTCTATTCAGTTATAATCAAGGATTATGTAAGTTTGTAAAGTTGGATCAAAGGTTCATCTCATCCCAGCTGTTAGTTAGCTAGATTTTGCTCCATTAAAATACATATTATGTATACATGTATGTTTTTTTTTAGTTTCTCCCAAACTAGCTCAAATAAGTTTTTAGTTTGCTTTTATGATGAGTGCAAGTGTTGAGAATTATGTAAATGTATTATATAAGTTTTAAAAAAGAGAACCCTATTGGGTAAGGGGTCCAATTACAATGTGTTAATGGATTCTCCTATGTTGGATTATATTTTAGTAGTAAGCTATCGATGCAAAAGATGGCTGAGAACAATGCTAATAAAGCTAAGAGAGTTTTAGTCTCCTTATTATCTTCATTGAATCATTTAATGCCTATGTCAAAAAATGTATTTTTTAAGTTGTTTGATGCTAAAATTGTCCCCATTCTTTTGTATGGATCAGAAATTTGGGGTCTTGAATATATGTATAATATTGAAAAAATACAGTTGTATGCATGTAAACGATATATGAATGCACCCCTACGTTCTTGTAATGCTGTAATTGTTGGTGACTGTGGAAGATACCCAATGCATATTTTAAGTAGTATACGCTGTATTAAATTTTGGCTAAGAGTTCTTTCTATGCAAGATTATAGATATGTCAAAAAATGTTACCATATGTTGTTGTATTATGACAGTATTGGATATAGAAATTGGGCTTCTAATGTTAAATTGTTTTTATATAGAAATGGTTTTGGTTATATTTGGGAACAGCAGCATGTTTCAAATATAAAGTTATTTTCAAAACAGCTCGATTTAAGGCTTAAAGATCAGTATCTACAAGATTGGTCTGCTGAATGTCATTCAAATGCTAAACTTACTTCTTATATTAATTATAAATCAGTGTTTGAGTATGAAAATTACCTTGATATTGTTGACATCAAGAAATTTAGGAATGCTTTAGTAAGTCTTCGGTCATCATCACACCCTTTAATGATTGAAAAAGGGAGACACGTAGGTATTGATAGAAATCAAAGATTTTGTTTCTTTTGTGAAGACCAGATTGAAAATGAATTTCATTTTATTTTAGTTTGTTCAACTTATAGTCATCTAAGAGAAAATTATATTAACAAAAAATATTATAATAATCCAACTTTGAACAAATTTCATGTATTAATGTCATCCAGAAAAGAACAGACAATAAAATGTTTAGCTATGTTTATTTATTATGCTCTAAAGCTGAGGTCGTCATTATTGCAGTGTTAACATGTTGATTAATTTTAATTTTTATGTCAATTGATTATAGCAAAAATCTAGATTATCTAGATTTAATACTTGAAGGTAATCTCCCTTATTTAAGGGCATATTTGAATTAATACAACCTTGTTCCTGTTTTTTCTTGTTTTTCGTTTCTTCAAGATGCAGGAACAGGCAAATTAAATAGTCACTCTTTATATTTTCGTTTTTATAAAACTACTTATATACCTGTTTATATTTGTAAATATGTTGATTACTGTAGATTTTCATCGTATTTGTGATTTTGTGTTATAATATGTAAATATGTTTTGTGTTTATTGTGATTTACAAGTCTTGCTTGTTATGTTAATAACTGTAAATTTTCACTTTTTTTTGTGATTTTGTATTATAATATGTAATTATGTTTTATGTTTATTGTGATGTATGGGCTGGTGGCCTGAATCATCTTAATAAAGAATTGAATTGAATTGAATTGAATTGAATTGGTCACAAGTTTAATCTACACTGGGACAGAGTTTATATTATACCTCAGAACCACCTCATTCTCACAAATAGTGTGTCCGTGTTTACTTACATAACTGTCTTTATATAACTTAACTCCCTCACTCCTTGTAAATAAACTAAAACAGTTACCAAGGAAATATTTTATGACATTAGATTGATTGAGAGACCTATGATTGAGATTTTGATTGTTGAAAATCAAATAGTCATTGGGGGAAAAATGTGCCATGCCAAAAATTCAAGGACACAAATCCCAATATCCAAGCACTTACAAGTTTTCACTCTTCATAATTTTGTGGGTGGAAAATGTGAGTAATAGGGGTTATAATAATGTTAATGAGTATCTATCCTGACCTATACAAGTTGAGAAGTAAGTCAGGAAATTAGAACATACATGTATCATCTGTAAATGTGTTACCAAAGACAGGTTGACATAGGCAACTGAAATGTCTAGAAACAATTTATGGTTGTTTGAACTTTCATCATTTATTCCCACCTGTCACCTACTTACTTATATTACTTGAATCAATCATGTGAAAATAGTAAATTTAAAAGTTAATGATTAAACAATAAACCTAGACAGGGCGACATATTATCTTGATTAGTAAGCTTTTCTTTATTTGATTTATCTATAGTTTTACAGACAGTTTTATTTTTTATTATTTTTCTAAGTTAGCTTATCCTTTCTATATATAGCTGTTTAATACAATGCCATCATCCAAATGAACCAAGTTTGTCATTTATAGTATAGCATCTAATGTATTATATATATTTAAAATGATGTCTCTACTCTTGAAAGAATGGTAACTTTTGAAGGGAAAATCAGATTTGTTTAATAAGATAATCCTGGTAGGATATCTTCCCAATCTCAAGTCTTCTTGTCACCATGTGACCAAACAAACACACATGAACATTTATATTCTACAATTTGAATGCATTTGTGTAAAAAAGTCATGTTTCTGATATATCTTAATGTACAGATTTCACTATGGTATAATTACTATAAGTATACCGCTCAATGGCTAAAAAAATAGCAACATGATAATCAATATACCGTACCTTTTGGAGCAGTTCCATTGACAACCTGACCATTACTGTCTGTTGTTAATGTAGAACCTTTCTTCATAGCTCTATGTTCTCTTTCCTTCTTCAGCTGTATAACATAATAACATGGTGTATAAATACATATAAAGAAAATTATCATGATATTATTGAGTTTTATATTTGTGAACACTTTAAACATTATTCTAAAAATATATGTCTAAGGTGAAATGGATGGTAAAAAGAGTGCTGAAACTGAGCCCGTAGATTTAATGCCATATTAATTCATTTCTCCTTCTGATCTTAAATATTAACACAAAAACAATCACCAGGTTTACACCTGAATCATTTGCTATTCAAAATTATGGTAGAGGTATATTATGTACGTCGTATGAATATATACATAATATACAAGGATGTCATGGCAGTTTTCCCGTGCATCTGGTACAAGTATGTCTATAAGAGAAAAATACCAAACAAACATACTTTTTCTTCAAGTTGAACTCTCTTTTCTTCTTCTTCCTTTTGTTTCTTTATTTTCTCATTTTCCAGTTTAGCATCTTTCATTGAAGCTAGGAAAGTATCAAATATTCCGAAAAACTCATCAGGCTGTGAACTACCCTCAGATATGCCAAAATTCTTCTGGCACAACTCAAACTGGAAATAGAAGAAATCAAATATTACTTTTACAATATTTTTTAAGAGTGGTACTGAATGAATTCAGATGAGAACAAAAGCATGAAATTAATGAAGGATTTAAAAACCATTTTCTATGTTTCTTTTTTTATTTTAAGAGTATCTGTCAACTGACAAAGATTATTATCCAAAAAGTGTTGGAGAGTTTTCATCAGATTCAGCAGTAGAGGATATATTGAGTGCTGTCTTAGCTTAACCCTGTTGAAACCAGAAGTGGTTTGCCTTTGTATATCCAGGCAGTCTGACTAGGCTCTATAATGTTAATTTTCTAAAATTGATAATGGGCAATGTCAAAAATGGAAGCTGAATTCTGTATGAGAATTCTAGCAGGTAAATGACAACTCATGCCCATCATGATGCTGTAGAAACACAATCATGTTTTCACCATGAAGCTGCTAAATGAGGACCTTAGACATAATGTACTAGTATTTAGTTAAATCTTCAAATAGAACATACTGAATAAAATGCTTGGTGATTAAACAAGCATATATGTCTCGTTGCCAGTTATGTTGCCTTTTTTTAATATATCAATTTCACCTTTTGCTTCATTTCAGTATAAGTTTCCTCTACTTCCGAAAAGTTGTATGAAGCAACGGTTGCAAATTGGGTCATCACAGTAACAAATCTGTCCCCATGTAATTGAGGCTGATTCTGGAAATAGGTCAATTCTTTCTCTATCTCTTTCAGTCCAGTACGTAATGTGCCAAGTTCTTTGTCAAGTTCCGAAAAACTGCAATGCAAAAGGTAAAATATATTATTTCTAAAAAATATTTCTACAGTTTTTATCAATATTTGAAATACTTCAGGAAAATAGACCTATTCACTAAAATCCTTTAAAAAACAAAACATACAATAATTATGCATTTGAAATACTGTTTGCAGAATAAACTAGTTTAAAACACTTGCTTAAATCAATCAAAGAACTTGTAGAATTAATTACAGAATTGTTACCAAGAAAACAGAAAATTAAAAAAAAAATCTTACTTGACTTTAGAAGCAGCATGTACCAAACTGAGATCTTGTTCAATTTTTGTTACATCAGGAAACTGAAATAAAATTATAAATGATGTAATGAATTTGTATAACTTTGAAAATATTTCATCTAGTACTAAATGAAATAAAATTACTTTCCTGAGGAGCAATTTCTCCACGGATCTTGATAACTTTCAATGAAATACTTTTAATTTATGCATTATTTGCTTGGTCAAATAATATTAACCATTAGACAGCTGTCATGTCTACACATGTGACCAGTGCTGACAAATCCATGCCATCTGCACTGTTCTCTTTTCAGTCAGTACATATTTTGATTTTTTTCCGAAAAAAAAAATGAATGGTTTTGTCCAGACTGAAAGATGGGACATGTCCATTTACGAAATTTAGTATAGTAAGCGTTAATAGCAGCCTACAAAATCACAATTCAAAAGGACACAAAACTTATGTTAAGTAAACAGCAGGTATAGAATTAATAAAATAATGCATATTATGCTTCAATTATGTTTTGGGCTAACTTGTCTTAAGAATTATCTGACAACAGACAATTAAGTAGACATTTATATTTATAATCTGTATTCATATTAACCATCAATATCATTTGTATTTATTTACCAGTCAACTACTAGTTTACATAGGAACATTAAATCCAAGCACATAAGGCGCTGAATTTGTTTGGGTCTCAGAATGTCATAAAGGTGAAGGTTGTGAGATTATAAACCAATTTGTTTTTGTATAGTGCCACCAATGCTTTCCAATGTTATAACTGTAGTAAATTGGCTATAAGACTAATTGAAACACTGATAGTCAATTCAATGTTTATTTGACTTAAAAAATTTTTTTTTAAAAAAATGAGTTGCCTCAACTGGGATTTGAACTCCAGACCTCTCGATTCATAAGCGAGCGTGCAAACCCCTCAGCCACGGTGAAGTTATGTGTTAATGGCCTGAAGAAAACCATATTATTCTAAATTAGGGTTTGTAACTCTTATTATTTTGACGCTAAACCTGTTGTTTAACACAGATGTAAATAATCATGGAGCTTACTGTAAGCATGTATATCTATAAAGAATGAAACAATATTAGAAATCTTCTACCATTCGGGAACTACTTTGCTTGTAAAATTAATGCGCCTGTCATTTGACAATCTTTACGCATTGATCTCCCCTGAATTTTTCGGCGTTAGTGTACATATAAAGGGAAGTAACCGCTTCAAAAAAGAGGACTACTTTAGGCATCTGCATAAACAGCATTAGGCTCTGAAATTTCGCTACCATTATTTGTTTGGTCTGACGACCCAAACAAATAACAAGAGCTGTCCGTAAGACAGCGCGCTCGACTTTTTTATTGCTTGCCAATAAAAAAAGTTTTTGCAGTAAAAGGCAATACAAGAATCTCTGTATTTTTAAAGTGAACTAGTTGTTTGATACCCTTGAATATTACAGCAATGTTTATATGACATAATTTATGGTAAAGTGAACAAGTGGATAGGAATGAATTTTTTTTAGATTTTTTAAGTTTTTTAGTGCTTGCCTATAATACAAAACATTGACAGTTAAGGGCCATAATTCAAATAAAATCTTTGACAGAATTACCTTCTCCTGGACATGTTTGGGAATCATGATTGTAAACAAGTATTCCAACTTTCAAATTAATATCTCAAACAGTTCAGTCAAAAAGTGGACTGGTACTAAAAACTTAACCAAGATTCTAAGTCGATAAAAGGCCTTAATTTTTAAAACAAATCCTTGACAGAGTTACCTTCTCTTGCGTACAGATGGGGTAATGATGTGAAATAGCATTAAAAGTTTCAAAGCAATATCTCAAAGGGTTAAGGCAATAAGTGGATTTTACCCATATTCAATGTATTTTCTAAGTCAAAAAGGGGCATAATTCTGTCAAAAACCTTGACAGAGTTATGTCCTCTTGTCTGTTGATGAAGGTCGTGATGGTAAACAAGTATGGTCAGTTTCAAAGCAATACCTCCAATGGTTTTGAAATAAAGTGAGGTGGTACAAAAAACTTAACCAAGCTCAATACACTTTCTAAGTCAAAAAAAGGGCCATAATTCTGTCAAAAACCTTGACAGAGTTATGTACTCTTGTCTGTAGATGGAGGTTATGATGGTGAACAAGTATGGTAAGTTTCAAAGCCATACTTGTAATACTTCTGAAATAAAGTGGGGTGGTACGAAAAACTTAACCAAGGTGTGACGCCAACGCCGACGCCGACGCCGGGGCGAGTAGGATAGCTCCCCTTTTCATAGAAAAGTCGAGCTAAAAATGCCTACCCTTTGATTGAGTTACATTGCCTTCACATACATATTAACACCATTTACAGTAAGTTCAATATGGCTGTTAACAATAATCACTTATTACCTCATGACTTCTGGATGCTAAATTGCCTATACTTTTAAGGACCCTCTATATTTCCTACTGTTTCAACAGTATATATAAACTCCTTATATTCATTACATATTATTTGTCTCTTTATGAATTTCTACTTGTTTGTACTTGCTGTATTTCTTGTGAAGGCTTTGACAAAAGTGGGGGATAGATGGCAGACTGACTGTTACAAAACTATGTAACTTTACTTAGATACTTTTTTATTCCAGTAAAAACAAATCTTATTGAAATGTTAGGCAATTGCAGTGTTACCTATAGTGCAGTGACATCAATTTGAGTGAGAAATTAGAGCAAAGGTCATTGATTTCACACAGATTGTCCCACTAACATAATGGCACAAAACAGAGATACAAAAAGTACATTAATATTATAAGATATTTCATAAATGTCAAGAATTTACACAAAGCATAATTATGTCACGATCATAAAACATTAAAATCTTAATCAATATTATCTTATCTTATCAACGAAACATGCTGTATTTTTAATGGAATTTGTAACATTTTAACATTTAATCTTTTCTTTCATCTAAAGAAAAATTAGATATTGTCTACAGACCACCATGACTGGAATGTTGTTTATTATATCTCATGTCCTTCATACATGTATATGATAAAAGCTGACATTATTTCTAGCAAAAGGTTCACTGAAATGAGCCACATGCAAGAAATTGAACCTAATTAAATATTATTCTAAGAAAAGATAAAAATAGTAATAATGTAGGACTTTGATTGGAATGCTTTTGAAACCTAAATGTTGCTCAACAAAAAAATCTTCTCAAATCATTTTAATTCTATTTGTTTTCTTCAATCTATGGTTACTGTTTGTAAATCAAGCTTTTGAAAGCAGATATTTTTTAATTACACTGATTTTGTTCACAGTAAACCTCACAGATTTTAAAAAACAAAAATATAAATGTTTCTAGTAAAAAGTAGGGTACTTGGTCAGAGTGTACATATTTAGGTTCTTGAATCGTCAATGTAAAATAGAGGATACCTTCACATACCTTTACCCTATCTAAGTATCTTTACTGGCAACATGACTGTGTGGTTAATGTGTTGGTCTAGCAATCTAAGAAGCAATAGCCACATGGGTTTAAACCTGAGCAAGAAACTTGATACTCATTGCTCAGTACTGGTAAGTTCGAGGAACAAATCCGAGTGTGTGTCTATATATAAGCTTATAGCTTCCTTCATGATTGAACATAAATTATATTCTGTATGAACCAAATGTATTATTGGATGTCTTTCAATCTGGACAAAGCCATAAATAATGTTTAGGTAAAATTGAAAATATGTACTGACTGAATAGTGAACAGTGCAGACCATGATCAGATAGCATGGATAGATAGATAGATGTACGGGCTGATCTTTTTCTGCACTGGTCACAGGAGTAGAATCAGCTGCCATCAACAGTCTAAGAGATAATAAATAGATCTAAGCAAAACTTTCAATTTCATCCTCATTAAATTCTATTCCTTTAACTAGTGACCATTTAATGTCATGAAATTGTTGTAATATTGTTTAGATATAGTGTAGTAATTTACCCTTTTCTCTACAGTTTCCACGAGGTAATGTAAGAGTGTCACTTGTTTATTTACTCCAGATTTTGTGTCAACCATATTGTTCAAGCTGATAATAGCAAAGCCTCGTGCATTTCCCCTCTGACCACGATTCATGTAGTTACCAAGTGCCAGCACTAATTCTAACAGTTTTTTTACTCGCCTACTTCTCATCAATTGTTTTGATCCTTCAAACACAGCTGTAATGATAAATTAATTAAATAGTTATACCATTGTATACTGAATTTCATATTTTTCTAACACGAATGGTTATTTAATGTATACACTGTTAATACATAAAACTGCTTTGCTAATGCATGAAAAAAGTTTGTATTAAGCTCTTCCCATTATTTCTTATATTGGTGGCCGATGTCATTGAATTCAAACCACTTGCCGCTCTTTGATGTTGGTTTTAGTTGTGCAAGCAGCTTTGCAGTCTTTCATGTGAGGAAGCTATTCAGCTACCTTAGGGAATGACGGTGGTTCTACTTAATTGCCAGTTTGTGCCTTAAAAAATGCACAGAGATGCACCTGAGGTCTTACTGCACCAGTAAAGCTGGAAAGTCGACATATGACCTAAACTGTGTTGGTGCAACATAAAATCCAATCAAAACTATCAATACAAACAAAAACAATCCCTTCAATGGAAAAGCACAATCTGAGACTTTTTATTAAAACATATATATGAGCTATCAAGATATTGATTCATTTTGAAATATATAATATTTCAACATATACAGAAATCCTACCCTCAATTCTGGGTTTCACATCTGACATTCTGTCCTGGTACTTTTTCTTGAAATATAGAGCTCTTACTCTTTGCTCATAGTGTGATATTCTACAGGGAAAAACAAAACAAAAATGTTGTCAAATGTGCATTATTACAATATATTTTTGTTAAAACTTTTTCTGACTTTTTTGTCCTTGTAAAATCATTTTTCATAACAAAAGTTAGTTTTGGTTAAGAAGTTCTGCTTTCATACATGCAGACAAAGTCCTGCCAGGAGTGTTGGTGTCTATATATCAGCTAATTTCACACACTGCTTGTTGATCATTGAAATTTTCATAACATAATTTTCAAACAATTCAGAAACTTTCTTATATTTTTTATACAATACAAACAACTATTCTGCAGATAAAAGTATGGTGATAAGATAATAAGTCATGGCCACCAGATAAAACTAGAACTATCACTAAATGTGATTAATACCCCCACAAGTCTGCTTCGGAAATGAGAATGTTACTAGTAACAGAATACCTTGTAAAAGAATTGAAACATAGAGTTATGGTTGTGGGCAATTAAAGATAATTGTGGTTCATGTATGTTGCATTTCCTTTCAATGTGGTTGGCCATTGGTGAAGTTTAACTGAATTACTCTGTAATAAGTCCAGAAAGACAAAGAAAAAGAACAAAGGGCAATAACTCTATAAATACTGAAGATAGAGTTATAGTTCTTGTGCACTGCACTTCCTCTTATTGTGCTTGACCATTGTATAAAGTTGTTTTGAATTCCAACCAGTACGTTTTAAGTTATGCTCTGGACAAGGAAAAGTATCAAAGGGCAGTAGCTCTGTATTTTGTCAAAATGGAGTTATGGCTCTTGTGCACTGCACTTCCTTTGAATGTCCTTGACAACTGTATGAAGTTGTACTGAATTCCAAACAGTAGTTTTCAAGTATGCTCTGGACAAGGAAAAGTAACAAAGGGCAATAACTCTGTAATTAGTCAAGATGGAGTTATGGTTCTTGTGCACTGCACTTCCCCTTATTGTGCTTGACCATTGTATGAAGTTGTTTTGAATTCCAACCAGTAGTTTTCAAGTCATGCTCTGGACAAGGAAAAGTAACAAAGGGCAGTAACTCTGTAATTAGTCAAGATGGAGTTATGGTTCTTATGCACTGCACTTCCTCTCAATGTGCTTGACCATTGTATGAAGTTATAATAAATTCCAACAATAAGTCTTCAAGTTATGGTCCGGACAAAAGAAAGCAATGGAAAAGTAACAAAGGGCAATAACTCTGTAATTAGTCAAGATAGAGTTATGGTTCTTGTGCACTGCACTTCCCCTCATTGCGCTTGACCATTGTATGAAGTTGTTTTGAACTCAACCAGTAGTTTTAAAGTCATGCTCTGGACAAGGAAAAGAAACAAAGGGCAGTAACTCTGTAATAAGTCAAAATGGAGTTATGGTTCTTGTGCACTGCACTTCCTCTCAATGTGCTGGACCATTGTATGAAGTTATAATGAATTCCAACAATTAATCTTCAAGTTATGGTCCGGACAAAAGAAAGCAATGGAAAAGTAATAAAGGAAATAACTCTGTAAATACTTTAGATAGAGTTATGGTTCTTATGCACTGCACTTTCCTCTCAATGTCCTTGACCATTGTATGTGGTTATATTGAATTCCAACCATTAGTCTTCAAGTTATGCTCCGGACAAAAAAAAGAAGGCAATTGAAAAGCAACAAAGGGCAATAACTCTGTAATTACTTTAGATAAAGTTATGGTTCTTGTGCACAACACTTCCCCTTATTGTGTTTGACAATCGTATGAAGTTGTTTTGAATTCCAACCAGTAGTTTTCAAGTTATGCCCCAGACAAGGAAAAGTAACAAAGGGCAATAACTCTGTAATTAGTCAAGATAGAGTTATGGTTCTTGTGCACTGCACTTCCTCTCAATGTGCTTGACCATTGTATGTAGTTATATTGAACTCCAACCATTAGTTTTCAAGTTATGCTCCGGACAAGGAAAATGCAACAGACAAAAAAAAAGCAATGGAAAAGCAACAAAGGGCAATAACTCTGTAATTTCTTTTGATAGAGTTATGGTTCTTGTGCACTGCACTTCCCCTTATTGTGTTTGACAATTGTATGAAGTTGTTTTGAATTCCAACCAGTAGTTTTCAAGTTATGCCCCAGACAAGGAAAAGTAACAAAGGGCAATAACTCTGTAATTAGTCAAGATAGAGTTATGGTTCTTGTGCACTGCACTTCCTCTCAATGTGCTTGAGCATTGTATGTAGTTATATTGAATTCCAACCATTAGTTTTCAAGTTATGCTCCGGACAAGGAAAATGCAACGGACGTCTGGACCGACCGACCGACCGCCCGACCGACCAACCGACCGACCGACCACCGGGTGACTCCTATATACCCCCCCAAACTTCGTTTTTGGGGGTATAATAATACTGCTAATGTCACCTCTATCCCATCCTAATACAGCATTTAAATTTTTAGGGAATAGTAAACAGAAAATATTTTTCAATCAAATTATGATTAGATTATACTTACTTCCCCATTTCAAACAAAAACCTATCAGCTCTTGCCAGATTTTCTGTTTCTCCTCCCAACTCTGTAAGAAGCTGCATTTCTTCTGAGGTTGGCACATATTTTAATAACTGAAATTTGTATCAAATAAATCTGTAATATTGTAGTTCGGTATAAACAGACAAAATCTACAGTTGTTTTTGATGAGAAAACAGATTATTTCTATGTGAACATAAAGTGTATATAACAGCTTAATTCCACATAAAAAAACAACAACCATTAAAAAATCTGTAATTTTAACAACAGTTATGGCCCTTGTCCACTTAACCTAAACAAAAGCACTGCTAGGCGGAGCATTATATGCCCGAAAGTGATTTTTTTAGTAAAGATGAAGCATTTGTAAGACATGAGAATTAAATAATTTTATTACGACGGATGGACAGAAAGACACCAGGGATATGACATAATATAAGCAAATTTTTTAGGGCATATAATTAATGTACTCAATATAAGCTGTAGGTTGATAAATACTTAAGTTATTGAGCAAAAACCGTTTTCAGTGACCATGACCTTGTGACCCCAAAATCAATAGGGGTCTTCTACTTAATATTGACAATCATCCTATGAAGTTTGAACACTGTGGGCCAAATGGAACTTAAGTTTTGCTCCAGAAACCACAATTTTCAGTGTAAAGATCATTGTGACCCTGACCTTTGACCTTATGACCCCAGAATAGGGGTCTTCTACCCAATATGGACAATCATCCTATGAAGTTTAAATATTGTTGGCCAAATGGAACATAAATTATGCTTCAGAAACTGTTTTCAGTTTTAAGGTAGTGACCTTGACCTTATGATGCCAAAGTCAATAGGGGTCTTCTACTCAATACGGACAATCATCCTATAAAGTTTGAAATATTGTGGGCCAAATGGAACTTAAGTTAAGTAAAGGCAATAGTGACCTTGACCTTTGACCTTGTGACCCCAAAATCAATAGGGGTCTTCTACCCAATATGGACAATCATCCTATGAAGTTTGAATATTGTGGGTCGAATGGAACTTAAGTTATGCTCCATAAACCAAATTGCTAACGGACGGACGCCAGGAGGTTTAACATAATAAAAATGAGAAAGATAATCAGAAAAGTTTAATATAGGCATATCCATCCACAATAAACATTTATAAGGTCAACACAAATACATTTTTGTAGTAAGTACATGATTGTATGTCTATGCTCTTTAATATTAGACAAACTACAAATGAACAACATGGCCAAGTACTGATTAATTCTATGAAGTGGACTCAAGAGTGGTTCAAGTAAGTTCATAACTGAGATAAAATAGTAACATTTAAACTTATAAAAGTGCTCAAACTATTAAGATATGAGCCGGGTCACGACAAAACCAACATCATGCATTTGCGACCAGCATGGATCCAGACAAGCCTGCGCATCCGCGCAGTCTGATCAGGAGCCATGCTGTTCGCTTACCAAAATCTATAACAAGTAGAGAAACTGATAGCGAACAGCATGGATCTTGATCAGACTGTGCAAACGCACTATGTTGGTTTTGTCGTGACGCTGCTCACATATTTTCAATACCTGTTCTAACATATCCTTTGGTATATCTTCATGCTCATCCATGTTTAATACTGCTGTTTTAATCTCCTCATTGCTCACTTTTAACTTTGATAGAAGAATAGTACAGTTCTGGGCACGTCGACCATCAATCACAGAAAGTTCTTTTGTTTTTTGTGGAGTTTTCCCAGAATTCTTAGCATCATCTGTTTCATCCTGCTGCTTTTTCTGATATGCCGAGAATGTTTTCTCAAAATCTTCAAGGTCAAGTAAAGAATACAACTGAAAAAAGGTAACAAGTATGCTTAACCTTTACCAGACTTAATATCTTAAATGGACTTGTCCATCTATCAGTCTGGACAAAAATATTCATCATTTTAAGAGAAAATTTAAATTATGTATTGACTGAATAGTAAACAGTGCAGACCATGCTCAGATCACACAGATTTGGTAGCTGATCTAAGTCCGCACTGGTCACATAGGTGGTATATTCAGTTGCCACTAGAAAATAACATACATATAATGCCATACACCAAACATTTCAAACAAAAAAGAAAAAGAAACATAAAAAGTAGTGTGTAAAGAATTTGAGTGCTTTCACATTAAACTAAAGAACTTCAATTTGAGCTGTATTTTCGTTTTTTGTATTGAAAAATTAATCAGCAAAACAGTAACAAATATTAAATGTTTACATAAATATAACCATACTGTAATAATACTGCCTTGTTACTGGTCTGACAAAACATATAGAAACACTGTTTTCCTTTACTTACTTTTGTATCATCGAGATCATTCCATACAGAACCTTTGATTTTATTCTGAAACAAACATAAGGGAGGTAAATCTATAAATAACAATCAGTGAGTAACAATAAGTTATATCCCTTTGAATAGAACATTCATTTTTACATTTTACTATTTTATCTTTCTTTCTATTGCTTTGCTAAGATTTTTAAACATAGGTATCAATTTAACAAATCACTTTTTATATCAAAACAGGAAAACAAATTACCAAAATACCAACATCATAATTCAACCAAAAAGCACTGTACCAAATTTTTAAATTTACATTGTAATTTCTAAACTTTAGCAGCAGTATACATGTGTACTTACATCATCTAGTTTGGTCCAGTTAAAAGATTTAAGAGGTTGTTTTGGTTTTGGAACGTTTCTACGTTGAGCAGTTCCTGGAACACCAAACATTGATGGTGGTGGTGGGGCACCTAGAAAACACGGTATAAATATTAATCATTAATAATCAACTTGGTGAGACAAAGTATCAAAAATTTCCTACCTATTTCCAGCACAAGTGTAATGAACAGAAGTTAACAAGAAGAAATATAAGTAACTTGTTAGGTCAAACTAAATTTTGCCTATTGTAAAAATATATATTTTTGCATCATTAAAGGAACTTAAGGAATTAAAATTATTTCTAAAAAATAAATAGAGTAAGAAATACAATTTAAGTGACAAATTAACATGTAAAACACAGTTGAAGTAAATTCTAAAACTGAATTTTGATCTTGGTATACAAAAACTGAAATTGTGAAAATGTATGCAGTCCATAAATTGTACATAATATCCATGCAGGTTGTATAAGATAGAATAACAATTTTGGATTTTAAAATAAATGTAATTCAAGCATGCTAAATGGAATGTTAGTTTAAGCAAATGTTTTTATACTGATTTTAAAATAGGGTTATTAGAGGAGTTTCTTCATCTAGAACTTGTATTTGACTTGAGTGGACTTTATAACAACAGGATCTTGAGAGGCGTGGCGGTCCGGAGTGTGATTAAATGAGAAGGTCATCAAGAAACTCCAATAACAGCCCTTTTATTATATACTTTGTTTAATTCAAATTATATGTTCAACTATGATGTACTAGTAATTGGCATAATGCCAGTGACTTCATTTCACGCTCAAGTGTAATACAGCTCTTTTTCACTCAGTCATTTTTGTGCATGTAATACAATGCATTAAATGCATAAAAGTATTTACTGGTATATGATGAAGTATGATATCAAAGTCTCAAAAAATTTAAATTGAATAAAAGATTCTGTCTCTCTGCAAATATTTTCTGAAGATTAATTTATTGTCATACAGATAATTATTACAATAATGTGATTATTTATATATAATAAATGTGTGCAACTTTCTGTTACCTTGTCCTTTTTTACCATCAAGTACATCTAATACATGTATTAAACAATATTAATTAATTCTACAAACTGATCTAGTTTTAGCTTGTATAAAATAATAATTAGAAATGGTCAAGGTTTAAAACGGTAAAGGTTTAAAACGTAACTTGTCTTACCACTTCATAACTGGTTTGGACCAGCTGCTGCTTTGCTTTCTCCCCAAGACACAATGTTTTTGTAGAATGTCTAAACTTAGCCATACATTTGGAAAGGAAGTATCTTATCCTTAATGACTATTAAATCAAATGATACTGGTTTGTAGAGCTAAATTCTCATAAAGAAATAGCTACATTTACAATGACTTCATTACAGACAATTTACACAACATGAAGATTACTACATAGTTTTACACACAACTATAACTTATTTCAAAGTCAAGACGTTGTAAATCATACCTGGAGCAGGAGGTGGAGGGGGAACAAGTCCAGGTGGAGGCAGGGCCGGGGGTGGTGGAACACTACTGGTTGGTATGGGAACAGATGACATTGACTTGAGGTCAGATATCACAGAAACTGAAGATAAGCCAACTTTAGCATCATCTGGTAGACTTCCAGTTTTTACCAGATGTTGAAGCTTCATTCTTTCACCTCTCTCTGCCTCTAACTATAAATAAAATCAAAACAGACTATTAAAAGACATAAAAAACCTCCATATATAATGGACCATATTCATGTTTAAGGTAGCTATTATTTTTCTTATGAGAAAAACACTTCTGAAAAATTTTTAATTACATTTCTTTCTGTCATATTTCTTAAAGTTATATTATGCTTTTTAATCAATAACCCATGTGACTCAACAATTTTTTTTTAAATGTTCTTCAGAACTTTTGACTAAAAGAGTGGAGCAGTCTTTTTTTATTTCAGACGCTAAATTGTAAAACATTTGTCAATTTCAATTGTTTTTCTATCACCAATATTAAAGCTAATATAGCTAATTCAGTGCAACTCTGGAAAATGAGTGAATGATCACTTTATTAAATTCTTGATTTTACAAAACAAACATTTCTCCAACAGAAATAAAACCAGTCTCCTAACATCAAATATTAATTTTGTTCATTAACTTATCAATATTGAATTACTTTAGAAATTTATTCTTGCACTCACTTGAGCTTTTAATTCTTCTATATGTCTATTTAAATCATTTATATGTTGTTTAGTTTCCTGATGTCCAGCTGTCTCTTTCTCAAGCTTTGTTTTCATCTTGTTCACCGTGTCTAACAGTTCTTCCTTCTCCTGTGTACGTATCTCGGCTTCACGCTCTTTTTTCGTCAGTTTTGATTGAATCTCATCATTTGCTTTTTCAACCTCTCGTAACTTTTGTTGATATGATTTTATATCTGTCTCATTGGTAAGCCTATTTTGGGGAAAAATCATACTTTATTTTTACAAAATTTGGACATTCAAATAATGTTTACAAGAGAGTAATAATTAATCAACATGTTAAATGATTACTGTTTTCCAAACAAACTGGTTTTGTATTTGCGTTCATGTTAAATGATTGGAAAAGAAACGGGGCCAATATTTGTATGGTTAAAAGCAAGATTTACAACACAGTCATACTTTGTTCAAAACTTAATTACTGCTGCTCATTAAAACTCATTAATGTTTTATTTTCTGATTGTATAACTTAGCAGACAGCACCAAAATGACACTTTCCTAAGCCATACTATATCCTAACAAAATCTATCATGGCCATATTGAAATGAGGAAAACAAGAAGAAAACACAACATTTTAACTTGTTACAGGTAAATCAGTGCAGAATTTATTTGACAACAATTTGTTTTCTCTAGAACACTTACATTAGAATAGTTTTCTTCACATTTATTTCTAAAGTTTCATAATCGTAGTCATGACCATTTTTCTGTAGAACAACTTGTTGGACTATCTTGTCTATTAACAACCACATTCCTGTTGTATAACTTGAGTTAGCATCTACAAAAGTCATGTTGAGATAATACATAAAAGTAGCATTCACATCTACAAAGTTAACATTAGAATTTTTTGTTCTTTTTTTATTTTTGAAGCTGTGGTAAAAAATGTGTAAAAAAAGCTCTTGATTTTTATCCAGTTAATCCAACAATTAACAACACGGTCAGTACATACATGAATATGTTACATTGAAACATATTACAAATCTTTTTAAGAAAGAATTTAAAGCAAGTTTTTCATATTAACTCTAGTGATAAATATATGAATATTGTAAACATGTCATGTTAATATTATCAAGACTTTGAATGTTCTTAATACATAAAGCTTGTGTAGAATATTTCACAATATACTGTAATGTCAGTCAACATATATACCAACTTCTCTACCAATACTTACAAGGTATGAGTAGTAAATGCTGCAGTAATGACAACAAATGGGTGTAAGCTGGAGCCATGAACAACTTCTTCCGGAGGAGCTCAAACATTGTACTGGCACTTTTGGTGTCTACATGAGCCTGAATATAGAAAAGAAGCCCTAATTTCATACATGATTTGTCAGTGATTTGTGTTTTTGCTTAGGTTCTATGTAAATGTCATATAGTGACTTTTCACCTTACTGGTGGCAGTAGATCTCTTAGTGTCATTCCTTCAAATTTAAGTTGACATGTAAGTAGAACTAATAATCTTTCATAAGCTAGCTGGACAACATCTCATATGAATGAATACAAAGTCCCTAATAGGATTCAAATCCACAATATTGACAGGCAAGTATGCTTAGCTAGTGTGTCATGGATGTCCTGAATTTTCCAAATTATTATTTTAATGTGACATGCTAGAAATCAAGATCAAGTTTCATACCTAGGTACATTAAACAGACAATTTAGTTTTATTTTACCATTAAACTACTGTTAAACTGACAGATGTTCAACAAGATAAAATTTGAGCTGCAGTGTTATTTTATTGCAATTCAAAAACACACTACAATATATAAGTTTTCAAATAAAAAAAACCCAAATTCTTCCAATCTCATTAAACAACATAGATATATTTCTTTATTTGAAAATAAATTATGTTTTAGATAGTATTAATATGTCTTTACAGAATTTATGTGCACACATCAATTTCATACCCTGGAGAATTTTAAAACATTTTTTTTATGCTGTCAGTAATTTTATGCCAAGCCATTAAAGCTATGCCTTTCTAACAGTGTTAAGACATGTACAATCGTAACATTAAAAAACATTTTTTTTTATAAACTATTAAAAAAGCACTCTTCAGTATTGTTAGATGAAAACCACATGTTCATATAAAAATTTCAGATTATTAAACTTTAATGTTATACAAAGGAGTACTTACACCTTCAAATTTTTTGGCTAGCACTTTTTCATCATCATTTCTCATCATTTCAAAGAAATCTAAATGTCTGAAATATAAAAGCAATCAGAATGTATCAACCATTTCAATAAAATAACTTTGCAAAAATATAAAAATGCTGCAATAACCTAATTTGTTTGTTTATTGGGTTTTATATATGCTGATTTTAACACAATTTTAGGTCATATCTTGACTGTCAGTCCCTTTAACCGGCTTTCCTGGATAACTAAACAGTACTGTTATGGGTAATTACCAAGTTCTCTGCAAGTGGCCAATTTTCTAATCCTACATGAATTCTGAATCCGCCACGGAGACATATGACCATTTGACTCAATGACTCGGAGAAATTTTTCAAGCAATGATCTATAAAACTGTGTAGGTAAGATGAAATTTCAAAATATAGATATTCAGATTTAAACTTTAAAATCAAAGTTTACCCGAGTCAGAATGAGTCTTACATATCAATTTAAATAAGATTTCTAATACCATATCAAGACTCTATCATTTTTTGTAATTTAACTGTGATAATTATTACATTACCTGTCTAATGTAGCATTGTCATGTTTTCTGAGTTTTTCTATAACTGGTTGTATACCTAACATTAGAAACTCATATCGTAGATGTAACCGGAACTCAAGATAGTCCTGAAAAAAACAAATGTGAGACTTAAGGAGTTTAAGAAAAACCAAGTGAGATAGAAACTTTACTGTCTTTCATGTGTCTTTATTATCATTATTATACTTTTTGCAGAATTTTTAAGCTTCCAATGTTTGAAATCATATAAATATCCTGCTTATTCAGCTTGTGTAAAAAGACTAAAGACCAGCAGTTTAGAAAAACATAGGATACCAAACTTTGCATTATTTTTGGAACAGACACCAGCTTAGGCCAAACCATCAATTATACCTTTTTTGTCAAACAGATTCACAGACTTGATGTCAACCCTTTCTTAAAATACATACAAGAAATAGTATTACCTTTCCTGGCCCACATCTCAGTACAGCATTTATAAATGACATTATGGCAGTTTTCAGATTAACTTCCTCCCGATACACACCTGTACTTCTGTCAAGGTCATATACCAAACTCTGTGTAAAAAAAATATGTACAGAATTAAAAACTTTTTTGAACCTTTTCAATTAAGTCAATGAAGCTTCAACATGTGGTAAAATTTTTACTGATACCTTTATTTCTTTTAACCACCATTATTGTTATCTGAACATAATTATAAAAGACACCTACAAAGTTTCTATATTACAAAATGTGCATGTATTTGCAAACATATCATCAATCAGACTATAAGACTATAAGGTATGAGTGTTACTAACCTGGAACCGCGTTCTTTCTGCAGCATATTTCTGGTAGTGTATCATAGCCTCAAGGACCTTTCTGTGTCCGCCGGGTACCAGGCACATGGCTCCCAGTATCTCAAACACAGCAATTTTAGTCTTGATATTGTCCGAGCTCAAACTCTGGGCTATCACATTAATACTGTTAGGGTGCGCAAGTACATGAGCTCGTCCTTGCTGTAAAAACAAACAAAAGAATGTTTTTTATTACCAATACAAAGAGCAACAAATCTGTACAGAATAATCAAAGTATAGAAAGAAATTGACATTAATAACTTACTCTAATTTCATCTGTTAAGCATCAATGGAATCTTACTATTTCAGATAGGTAGTTCATACATTCTAGGACAGAAGGACAATAAGACTGACATTTGATTCCAAATATTGGAGATAAAAAACGATCCTAAAGACTTTTAATGAATGTTTTAACGACTTCTTGAGTCCACAGGATTTAATATAAAAATATCTGTTTTGCAAGTTTCTCGAATGTTTAGATAGTTAGACTGGTCAGACTATACAGATTTCAGGTCCTGGTGCAATAATCTGGTGACAAGAAGTGTACTGGTTTAACGGTTAGGGACACTAATGAATGAAATTTCCTTTATAAATAAACAATGCTTTTCATTATGACTTTAACCCTTTACCTGTTAAATTCCAATATATGGACTTGTCCAGCTTCCAATTTTTAATTTTCCATTATCAATTTTGGAATATCAAGATGAAAATTTAAATTCTGTCAGTCAACAGTATAGAGCCTGGTCTGTACAGGCTAGCCTGGCTATATACTGATGGCTTAGGTTGTTCATTTCTGGTTTGAGCAGGTTAAGGGTTAACACTCAATGAAATGAATTTGTCCTGTTCTAAATTAGGAACAGACTTTTAAAGACATTTTTGGGAGTTTTCATAAAGACATATAGGCAAAATTAAAATTGTTCCAATATAATTTCTTTAAACTTGGCATGTTGTTAGAATATGATAACAAAAACATTTTAAGCTATAAGAAATTGAACACTCCCAAAAACATCCTTAAGGTATTTTAATATGAGATCTTTGTCCAGTACTTACAGAGCTGTTCATCAGAGCTTTAAAGCAGCCTATAACAGCTGTATGTATACTACTCTCTGCAACTTGGTAGTCCATGTTAGTGAGGAAGTTGCCCAGACATTGTAACCCATCCAGCTCCAAAAACTCTGTCACAAAACTGAAAATCAAATTATTCTAAATGTTTTAACTACAGGAGTAAATTGGCCCCAAATTCAGTTGTTGTTTGTTGTGGTTTGTTCATTGTTGTATCAATAAAATAGAATATTCCTCTTTTAAATTTTGAAATATTACAACAAAGCTACAAGGAAAGAAACTTATCAAAGGTTTTAAGTCTTAAAAAGCCTAATAAATTACATAATAATTGCTGATTTCACTTTAGATGCATTTGAGTTGAAGACAACATGTTCACTTTCTTTAGCTTTCTTTATATTTCATCTTAAATAAGTTCAATTTATAAAAGACTGATTTTAGAGGCTAACCATTGATAAATTATCAATATGCAGAAACTTAGTAAATGTACAAAATTAGTAAAAACTTGGAATTGTGCTACCTCATAGGTTGTGTTCTGAGAGCTGTTTTAAGATTCTCCACAGTTTTCTCCCTTTGTTCCAACTCTTCTTCATTATAGCTGATTATCTGAAAACATGTATCATATATAAACATATACATTTTTCATGTCATCTTCCACATAAAATTATTCCATATGCTAAAAGATTATCTCCTAAAAGACAGAATATATCATTAAAGCTATTTCTTACGAACTTACATATTTAAGCTCATCATTTTACCATAATATTTACGGAATAGATATTCTTTAAAGTAATTTTGCTATATTTGTACAGAAGAGAATTTAGAAACCTCTCAGTTGTCTGGAAAAGACTAATTTTGTAAATGTACTTTCTACTCTTATATTTCCTTAAAAAGAGGAAAATTGACAGGTTTCTTGTTGCTTTTAAAGTACACTTGTTAGAAAACAGAAAGTGGCAAAAATAGGCTAAATTCTCCTAAAACATACAATCATGTACTTCATTTTGAAAAGGCACGCTTATTTTCATCAGAAGTTTTTATGAGGCATCTTGAATTTTCACAAGATAATTTTTGTGCTTAAATTCATTATTTTTTATGCTTAAATGTATGAAATATGCCAGTTCATTACAAAATATGCTATTTTTTCAAATTTTCACGAAATCTGACAAAATTTTCAAATTTACTGTAGGCAAAGTATGCTTAATTTCAAGAAGCTAATGCTAAGTCTAATGCTAAGGGTAACATTTCAATTTATAACCAAATTATTTCACATTTAAGACCTACAGATTAAGCTTACACATATATTTCATAATAACTGTGTCTTCAGTTTCTGTTAGAACAATCAGACACTATTTGTTTTATACACAGTATTTACTTACAGTTGACATTGAGTTGATTCTGTCAATATAGTACCCTGGTGAGTTCGCATCCCCAAGACCCTGAAAAATCAAGTATGAATAACTTGCTACCCTTTATATAGCATATAGAACAAATAATCATAATGTTGATGTATGAAATGGACATGTCAAGCTTCAAAATTGTAAATTTCTGGGAATAGTACAACCAAGCATCGAGCAGTATAATAAGAGATAATTAAAATGGTTCTTGGCTTTGCAGTAAAGGTTTCATTTAAAGAATGTTATTTTAATTGAAAAACTTTTTTATTGACAGCTTAAAGTAAACTACAGTAATCAAAGAACAATGCTAATTTATTCCAAAAATGTCATTTTGTGCTTAACATGACTATATAATGACATCAATTTTATGCTCCTACTTAGAACTTATTAATATTGTATTAAATGAAATAAGAGTCCCAAAATACATCAGCTGGGATAAAGGTGCAATATTCTATACATTGATAAATCAATTATCCTGATCATTAAACAGAGAGAAAGGGAAAAAAACATTATGACCAAGTCAACCAGTGATTACTGCTGGAATGTCTATAATTGGTTCGTTCTCGGCAAATAACACACTAGAAAAATGCAAACTAATGTGACAGCCTCTGAAATTGCTCAGCATTCTGTTAAATATCCCTTAAAGATGGGCTGTTGCCATGGAAATGAAAGACTCATTGACTCTCAGTAACAACTCTAATTCTGTAAGCAATCAGCTTTATGCTGAGACCTGTGAGAGTTACTTTAAAAAAATCAATTTAGTTTCCAGACTGCTCTATAGGGACTGACTGATATACTGTATTTTTACCAATTCCAACCAAGGTTATATTTGCAAAAAAATGAAGTTTAATTTGTTTCCTTAATGCTGAAAACAAAAGTAATATGACAATGTTACTAGAGTCTCTCACAGATGGAAACTTTTGAATGATAATGAAACAAGAGCTGTTAGTAGGACAGTGTGCTTGACTATTCTCAATTCTTGATGGCTGAATAATGTAGAATTTTCTAAGTACAAAATGAGTCATAATTCTGTCAAAATTCATGTAAGATTTATGGGCCTTGGACAGTACCCTCCTATTATGCTCTCAAATAAGTGTGTGAAGTTTCAACCCATTTCCCTTCAGTTTGTTTTCGAAATACCAACTTGAACATGAAGAAACTTCAGCAAAGCTGACACCTGGATGAGTACAATATAACTCTCCTTTTTCTTTGAAATGCAATCTATTAATTTTTGTTAAGATATATTTTTATCTTTCTTGTATGGGTTATACCAACCATTCCCACATATTAAGATTCTCTTTCATTATTACTTGAAGCCACTGGAATATGAAATCAATAAGAAATTGAAATATATGTATTCGTATACAAGAGTCTTTTACCCTTCAAAAAATGATTAGCTTTTTAGTATAGATCCATGCAGTATGACTATGCTCTATATTGTTAGTAGATCAAAATTTTATTTGAAATCCCTTGAACTTTGCCAGGAATGTTTCAAATTTGAATTCAATTATATTAAAGTTAAATACCACAATTCCCAAGGGATGTTGATTACATTTGATACAACAGTTTTTCCTGATCATGGTATCTTAATGAAATTTTCAAGTCACATGTATCAACTATTTTATGTTACCCTCTGGTAATATGAATATCTGGGAGTGCATAATAATTTACCAGTCTCTGATATGGTCCCTCCATTAGAGACAAACACTTCTTTTTTTAAAAAAAAAATATCAACATAAACAACAACTAGAGTTTCTCTTGTGAAATGGAATTTCATCAGAAATATTCTCAAATTACCATAGCATAAACTCACTTCCAATTATATTCAAAGGAAACACAAAATGACAGATGCAAACACTTGCAGAAACGCTTTTTTCTCTGTTACATCAGATATGCTGTGTGCAATGTTTGTATAGGATTACAGTCTTTGAAATCGTGTTTCAATTTTTTTTTCTCCAAAAACTTCATTTGCAGTTTAGTGGTTCTCTGTGAATCTGCACTGGCATACTTAACTATATACTCATTCATTCCTATATTCAGGCATGCAATAATATCTAAATGACAAAAAAGTGTCTTTTATAAAACAGTTAAGACTCATATGCATTTTTCAAATGTATTAGTTATCTTTTTCAATAAACTGTTACATATTGTACTATAAGCAATAAAATATGTTAAAATAATGTAATAAAAAATGTTCCAGACATATAAATCTTAATATGATTTCAATTACATTTTGCCTCCTTCCTGAAAAGTTCAGGATTTTTTTCCTCAAAACTCTTATTATCATTCATATCCTCATATGACTATACATGTATTAGTGCAAGTTGGTGTTAACTGTTTTAGTAAATTTACTCTATAATTGTCATTTTATTTGTACATTTTATGTTGCAACATATTTAATAACAACTCTAAAATCAAAGAAGGAGAAGCTAGATTGTTTCAGAATATGGCAAAAAATTAAAATATCATGATAACACACACACAAGGATGTTGGCTACAAAACCTGGGTCAATAAATTCATTTTATCATTCAAATTAGCATGGGAAATATCCATAAATTTCCAATTAATGAAATATTTGAGCATTGAGGCAAGTAATCTTCCCTATTAAAGCCTTCCATTTACACCCAACAAAAATTTATGGACTCAGAACTGATTGATTAGGTCCTATTAATGTATTGTACAGGTTGCTATAGAAACAAATTAAATATTTAGACTTTTGGAAGGTCAATATGTATACTAATATAGATGCACAAGTCTAGCAGATGCAGACAGTAACATGACCTTGTATATACAGGAGAATGAACAAAGCTGAAACTGCTAATGTATAAAACAACAAAACGTCCTGTCTTTATGGTCAATTCATTACAATAGATTGCTTGTGAGGGTAGCTGTCCAGTACAATAACTTTATAGTTGACAGTTTGATAGTTTGAATCCAGCTTAAGTTACAAAACAGAAAATAAAATGTAAAATGAATAGGGCATCTTGCATGATGATAAAACCCTAAACAAAATAATTATCTTTCAAATCTTCAAAATTAAAACCCTAAACAAAACAAGTCTATTAAATCTTCAAAGAGACAAATAATGAATTTGAATGAGTGACCACCTATATATGGGATGACCTCAAAAACAACATAATTATGTAAATGTATTTTATCAAATTTTACCTGTTTTTTACTGCAGTAAATCTGCCATTTTTTCTCTGGTTGTAAGTTAAACAAAGCATCTCTATGTGGCTTGTCTAGGTCCAGCTCAGCCTGTAAACAACAACACAATGTGAGCAAATAAACTTATTAAACAAATACAACAATCATAGAGATTGACAAATCCACTAATGGATCTGATCAGATAACATTAAGACATCTCTAAATTGAATTAAAGCAGAATCACTTGTTCATTTACTAAACCATACAGAAAATGATTAGTTTTTGCCACCAGTATAAAGCCAGGCCACCCTTAGATAGTTACTCAATGTTAATATAATTACAAAATTTTACAACTGAATTCAACAAGAGCTGTCAGTAGGACAGCATGCATGCTATTCTCAGTGCTTTATAGTGAAAAAAGAGCCTGGATAATGTAGAATTTTCTATGTTTGAAAAAGGCAATATTTCTGTCAAAACCTATGTTAGAGTAATGGACCTTTGACAGTGACCTCCTAGCATGCTCTTAGAAAAGTGTCTTAAGTTTTGAGCCATTCCCTCCAGTAGTTGTGGAGATACCAAATTGCAGGCAAAAACTTAAACAAAGTGGGACCCCAATGCCTGGGTGAGTACAATAGCTCTCCCTATTCTTTGAAAAGTGGAAAAATAGAACTATCACTAAATTTGATAAATACCTCAACCCCCTTTGCAAACTATGGAGGCTAATTTATGCCATGTTGTATTTTCCACTTTCACCACACCAAGGCAAAAAAGCAGTGAATGGCAACATTAGTACAAGATATGGCCATGACTGACATACAACCTAAACCAGTAGACCCCCCTTACAACTTTCACTGTGCAATATTTCATTGTGCACAGAAACACTTAAATATTAACACTTCAACATGCTCCTATAATCTGATGAATTTTCAAAGAAAGATTATACAAAATGAGTGCACATGTACATGTTATAGCAAATTATCACAAAATCACATGATAAATATGGAGACAAGATTAAAGCACAAAGTTACTATCTCATGCTGAGACACATGAAATAAGCATTTTTTTATATTTCTCCTATCTTCAGCTGTTTAGTTTACACTTTTACCAGTAATAAATTTGGCAGTAAAAAACACTGTCTGATAAACAGAATTAAGAAAGATTTTCTCACAGACTTGATGAGAATAGAAGGTGAAATAGAGAAAAAGAAGAAAAAAATCAGGCCATTTCTGTCAAAAGTGAAGTAAGCCTTCTGACAGTGTCAAGCTTTCGTTTTAATTATATTTATTTTTTCTCATCCAGTTTCAAGAAAGTGGGATTTGTTTCATTTTTCAACACTTATTACATGTCATATACCCGCAGAATTTTCTCAGAGTTTCCTCTATCTCAGTCTCAAACTTATTCCCACAAGATTTTCACATATATTCTGCATAGTTTACTCTAAAATAACTGCTAGTAAATTAATTCTGAAATTTCATGGTCTTCAAACTTCTCATTAAGACATTTCAGTGAATTGCATTACTAAAAAGCCTGTTGACAATAAATTAAATACACAATTTATATTTTTTTCCTGAATTATTCTATGAAGAATTGATGCAAGTTGTGTCTGCATCACAAGTCATCAAAATAAATAGAAAATTATTCAAAAGTAGTAAATAATAAATAAGTTTTTGATGTTGTTTTTTACCAAAATATTTAGTGAACTGAAACTTATTTTCCTTTTTTTGTTATGTTGAAAATTTCCTTTTTTGTTATGTTGAAAATTACCTTTTTTTGTTATGTTGAAAATTTTAAAGATCCTGTATGTTTTGTGATTGATATTGTTACTGTGTGTATACTACACTTGCAAAAAATTATATATGTATATAATTATGCAAATAAAACAATTTCGAACAGCGAAGAATATGTAAAATGTGGACTGCAAATGTGTGTGCACATTATATTTAATCAATACATTACATGCATTCATTTCTTATAGGAAAATTTGACTTAGAATTTATAGAAAATAAATTTCTAATTACCTCCCTTTATTTACATGAAATGTTAAATTGGGTAATATCTTTATCAATAATGCTTATTGGAACTTAAAATATTGACAAATCTTAATTTGAGCATCATATTTATGAAATAAAACCATGAAAATAATTGTGTTACAGGATCTTTGCCTGATTTTCATATTTAGATGTAAAAAGCCTAATTTTAGTATGTTATTGCTGAAATTTGATAGAAATTTCTATTAAGACTGGTCATCATAACAAATAACATCTTCCTATGTAAGTTTTAAAATTTACATATCCCTTTATATAATAAAGTCATTTTCAACTCATGTCTTCCAAGATTACTATCTTAGATAATTATATAGAGACAATATATATCCTACATGTATCAAGACTGCACATGATGTCCTGAAGCTGTTTATGTCAATTAAGCATAGGAACTAGCTACACTGTGATACCATAAGGTTTCAGTCAGACTACTAAAGAAATTAATATGTATCAACTTTTTAGCAAAATTTTAAAGATCACAATCTGACTGTATCAAATACTAACCACAAGCTCCTCAAACATTGTATTAAGCTCATTCTCATCTGTAGGCATGGGGATGTCTACTGTCATTGCCTTCAGCTGTGTCTCACCATCTATACCATACTTTATATCTGGAGGTCTCCCGCCAAAACACCAGCAAAATGCCTGCTTGCTAGGCATTGTGGGTATCTATATTTAATGTGTACTCAAGACTTGTTGTCTGAAAAGAGAGAAAAAGATATTTAAGTGTTTGTGAAATAATCTGCAAAATTCATTTGTTTTAAGTTAAATAAATTTTTTTTTAAATCATTATCACTTAAGAAATATTTCCGTCTTTAAAGAAGGGTTTTTGTCTAGGGAAGGATTACCAGCTTCAATTTAAAGAATGTTTCAGTCTAAACAAGGGTCCCAGAAACAAGAATAAAGAACTTGGTCTAGGTAGGAGAGTGCAGAAAGAAAGGCTTCAATTTTTGAGAAAAAGCCCTTCAGTATGAAGAAGAAAGCTTAAGTCTAGAAAAGAAAGATTTTATAGAAGAAAGGCTTTAGTCTGAAGAAGTAAGGCTACAGGCTGGAGAAGAAAGGCTTTAGTTTACATAATTATGAAAGACTTTGTTCTAGAGAATGAAAACTTTGGTCTAGATAAAAACAGCTTCAGTCTAGAAAGAAATGCTTCTAGAGAAAACTAGGTCTAAAAAGAATTGCAATTAAAAGGCTTTCAATCTGGCAAAGGAATGTTTCAGTCTTGAGAAGAAATCTATAATTGTTAAAATCTTTCTTAAACTTCATATACGTTCTTACATATTGGAAATTACATTTAAAGATTCTAACAGGAAAACCTAGCAGGAAACGAAATGAGCCATGGCTTAAAAAGGAAAAGCAATATTTGAAACTTTGAAGTAATTATCAGTTACATCAAAAATTTCACACTCGACAAAGAAGAGTTTAGAGATAAAAGCACATGAAAAGTGAGATTTTCCTCCTTCAGTTCAAGGTCATTAATACAGCTGTTAAATAATCATGAAAAAAAATCTACATCACAATTCATCACAAAATATCTATCATGAAGTAAAATGATAAAAAATTTTAATGGATTTTTGTCATCATCTTTGTAACACAATATCAAGCGGTGAATTCATGAAGATACATTTGTCCTCTGAAGAGATGTAATTGCTTTTAACAGCAGGCCCTCAAGTGTGCTTCGCTGATCTTTTACTATACAACTAGCAGTTAAAACATCACCATCCTGACAGGATTGAAACATTTTAATACATTTTTCATAATCTTATTTGCATCATATCACTTGCCATAATATTTAGAAAGAAAACAAGATTTTTATCTACAGAGGTCTTATCAATAATCAAGTAGAGGTTGAATTGTTTAAATTGTTAGGTGTAGCTACTTTCTCTCAGCATCTTGCTTGTTATAATTTCATGTTTCAATTTTATTCTAGGATATATATCTGATTAAAATATTACATTTTTATGAGATTGTAAGCTAGGTAAAGCACATAAAAATGAAAATTCTCCAGCACACATAAAGCACACACATACATCTTTGGATGTTTCATCATCACTGTAGTCTTTACCTAGACTACATCCATCTGAAACACCACCAAAGGGGAGAGGTCCACACAAGGTACCACTACATCAAATATCTAAGATAACAGCCAAACAATGAATATGCCATGAGATGCACTGGATAAAACCATGTGCAATCACAGGAAAGACAAGTTGGCAACAGATGCTCCACTGAAACACATATGAGCCGCGTCATGACAAAATCAACATAATGGGTTTGCGACCAGCATGGATCCAGACCAGCCTGCACAGTCTGATCAGGATCCATGCTGTTCGCTATCAGTTTCTCTACTGGTAATAGGGTTGGTAAGCGAACAGCATGGATCCTGAACAGACACGCGGATGCGCAGGCTGGTCTGGATCCATGCTGGTCTCAAACCCATTATGTTGGTTTTGTCATGGCGCAGCTCATATGTACTCTTCGTAAAAATCAAATGTTAAATCAAAGGGCTGCAACCTGTGTGGTATTTTCTGATCTTTGCAATCTAAATCATACTGACTATCTGTATGTATTTTCCTGTATAAGTTTATTTTTATATACTATAATTAATCTTAGCAGCGACTGCGCCTATAAGGCAGTTTGAGATTGATACATATGGAATTTTGCATGACTAGAGTTGCATCAAAAAATCATTTTAGCCACACTTTATCCTTGCATATCGTGGCTACTTCCTTAAAAAAGACACTTAGAAAAAGTTGCCTCGACTAGGATTTGAACCTTAGGCCTCTAACGCATAAACGAGCGCGCTAACTCTGCACCACGGTGAAGTAATACATATGTAGCTTGAATAAAAACAAATACATTGTAATTCTAAATTGAGAATTTCCATTTCGTGTTTGTAATCCTTACTAATTTCGAGGTATTTTGTTCACGATAAACCTGTTGTTTAACACTGATGAAAATAATTTAGCGAAAATTCCACTACTCGACAGTCAGATTTATTTGTGTACTACGCTCTGGAGTATTCGGTAATCGACATAGCTAAAAATAGCATTTTCATTGATTAAGCTTAACGGAAATAGCCGAACATTTTTCATTGGGTAAAAAAGATATTCATCCGCGAAATTTGTGATTGTAACCTCATATTTCTATTGACTACTCTTAACTTTTAATGCACTGTAATTCGTTAAATGCCTACATTAAAAATTATTCTTTCCTTTAAATTGCTGGTTTTTAAGCAGTTCTGAGTGAGAACTACTTTGCGTTGTTAGGTCTGTTAGGAAATTTTGTGTTAGACCGTGGATGTTAGCTTTGTATTTACTGATCCTGCGATGAGAAAATACAAAAATGATTACCCAAGTGCGAAAATAACTGTGTACCTTCTTTAGGTCTAACACAGGGATAGTACATATTTTATTAATGACTTGGCCACTTTACCATTTATTATTGTATCATATAAACAACATGAAAATGTAATAACCGACCAGTATTTATCATCAAACATTAGAGACATGACTACCTGTTTAATGTTACATCAAACACCAAGTAGAAAACAATGACATTTTATATACTTTCAAAAGGTGACTTAGTTGACATCTTTAATGGGTTTTCGTCACAATTAGGTCTGTATGAATCATCCAGCATTAATTTTTTCCTCTCATTTTCATAAACAATTGACTAATTTTTACCAGGTAAAGTGATTCATTAAAACTGGGTGCTCATTTATATAAAATTCTCTCAAGAAGGTATAACAAATCATACAGAAACAGAGTACTGCATTCATACACTCTATCATAGTCAGCCATTCATACACACCTATTGTATAATGGTATAATACCTTACTATATGACAAAAAGAGGAAAACACCCAACTTTGCACAACGACACTTCCAACAAGACGATGAAGTGGTACTTTATGGCTCATTCAGGTAAATTTAAAAAGTAGATAAAAAGTTCCTAAGGGCATGCCATGTCTTACATAAGACAGCCGTAAAAAGTTGCCCCGTACTTCACTTAAGTGTTGTTATATTTTCTGGTCCTTCGGGATCATTGATGCCAACACTATAAAGTGTTGAGAATTGAGTACCGCTCAAGCCGGTGCTAGGGGGCGTGAGGGATGTTGCACTTATTCATTATCCCTCATGTACAGACTCAATCAAACCAAGTCTGCAATTCTTATGTTATTTTGTTGTGATTAATGCTTCCGAGGGATCACTTTGTTTCCAGAATTTTTTACATAAGGATTAAGGAGCATGATAAATAAATGATGATGTTCTCCCAGATTTAGTTCCTACAAGAAAATTCACTAGATTTTTGGAGACTTTGTTTTTGAAAAAGAAATTTTAAACTTCTGTGGCCTAATTATGCTTAGAACAGAACTATCTAAATTAAATTTGTTGTGGACAGGATGATTCTTGTGAAGTTTGGTCAGTTTGGTCATAATAGATCACATATAATGATGGACAGCAGGTGGTTTCAAAAGCTCTTTTTTATTTAAACTAGAACTGCCACTATCATGGCGTGAATACCCCCGCATACCACTTTGTCAGAATCAACAGTGGCCATTTAGAGCTCAAGGACAACCTCCCTGCCAAATCTGAGGTTACTAAGCCAGTGCATTGCTAAGTTATGTATTCTACATGATTCAAATGTGAAAATGTCAAAATCAATACACTGCGGACAGGCATTCTTTAGCAATTGAGAAGAAAAGCTTTTTTTGTCAAGGTCCCTGTGACCTTGACCTTTGATCCAGTGACCTCAAAATCAAAAGGGGTCATCTACTAATCATGACTAACCTCCATGCCAAATATGAAGACTGTGGGTCAAAGGCATCTAAGGTTATTGGGCGGACAAGCTTTTTGAAGTCAAGGCCCCTGTGACCTTGACCTTTGACCTGGTGACCTCAAAATCAATAGGGGTCATCTACTAATCATGACTAACCTCCATGCCAAATATGAAGACTGTGGGTCAAAGGAATCTTAAGTTATTGGGCGGACAAGCTTTTTGAAGTCAAGGCCCCTGTGACCTTGACCTTTGACCTGGCAACCTCAAAATCAATAGGGGTCATCTACTAATCATGACTAACCTCCATGCCAAATATGAAGACTAAAGGTCAAAGGAATCTTAAGTTATTGGGCGGACAAGAAAAAACCGACGGACGGACGGCGGGACAGCCGGACGGACAACCTGATTCCAGTATACCCCGCTTACAACTTTGTTGTGCGGGGGTATAAAAAAGTTCCATAAGGTAACAGTCTTCTTATTTATATATTATACAAATATACTTTTGAATTGGATAAAAATGCTGACCCACATACAAGCATTATAAGCACACAACTTCAAAACCAAATGAATTCCTATTTTTGTAAATTCCAACCCAAGGTATCTGTAAAGTACATTATATTGCCAATCTGATTTATTTGCTATGTGGCATCATGAAAAAACTATATGCAAGTATCTGTTAAGTTTCTCATTTAATAAATCTATCATTTTCAATTTACATTTGGTAGCAATATAAAACAAGCTTATTAATTACACGCCCAAAGTGCAACAATTATAAGCATTCAGAGTTCCTGCAAACAGTTTCCTAATTTACATCATAAAATGCCAGAAAAAAAGCTGACAGGTGCAATAGGCGGCAGCCTTTATGTTTTTTTTAAGTGGTACCTCTCGTGTTTTATTGTTTCTTATGTAAATATAACATGCTGATAACCAGTCACATGACCTAACTCAATTATTTGACTGGTTCCAAGTTTTTGCCAATTATCAAAGACTGAAGAGAAGTATAAATTTTTCCCACCCAGAGTAAACTGTGAGAAATAAATACTTCCTACAGGCCAAGTACAGGCCAAGAACAATGTTCCTACAAAGTTTCATAAACTTAAGCTGATTACTTCTCAAGTGATTGATACACTAAAAGTTACTGTGACCATGACCTTTGATCAATGGTCCTAAAATCATTAAGATGCATCTGCTAGCCATTGGCGATGGATGCTTCCCAAAACTGTACTTTTGTCAATATTCCAAAATGCAAAATATGTAAGAAAATGTAAGAAACTAATTTAAGCATCAATGACCTTGACATTAAGTAAGATGTTCACCCAATGCATGTTGCTACCAAATATGACAGATGTTGGTCAATAAGTAAAGGATCTATGAATGACTGTTTAGCTATTTCCCCCAGTGAACCCAAATTCAAAGGAACACGCAAGGTATCTACCTATAAAACATGAAAGAGATCTGTCAATAAATAAAGGCAATTGGAGCAAAAGTTTGAATCAATCCATTAGTGACCTTGACCCCCAGTAACCTCTCACTCCACACAAAGTCAAGGTATGATCCTACTTATATGAAAGCTTTCAGTCAATAAAAGCAAAAGTGCAAAACTTGTTTTAATACCAATGTCTATAACCCCTAACTGTCCATAGACAAAGTAAAAGAACCATCCAAGATATAATTTTTATTAAATAACATCCATCCATCATATGGTAAAAAAAATAAATAACCAATATCATTTCAAATTTGCATGTTCTTAGACAATTTGGTGTAAACTATGGGGCATAACACATATAGAAAATGATACCAAGTAAAAACCTTCAGAAATAAAACACATACAAAAATCAGCTTCTGAAATTTAACCAATAAACAGAATATACCTTTCCTAATTAAACATCTTTTATCCAATTTCATTTAAACATTATTAAAATTTGAAATGAGCAATATAAATACCAGATATTTTCAGTAAATCTCCATCTTCTTTCTATCCAAAACTTAACCTACAAAAAGTAATCAGGTTTTTAAAAATATTATGAAAATACCACTTCTGAAATTTGATCTCATATTAGGGTTAAGTATAGTCAGGTTTTAAATACCAGAAACTTGATCCATGTCTATAAACATGGTCCAGTAATACAATACATTCCTTTCTTTACAAAAGAAATTTATGAAGAAATAATAACAACATGTATAGTATAGTTATTTCAAAATATCCACACACACAAAAAACATCAAAATAACACACACACATGACATTGTATATAGAAATAGGTAAATTGATATCAGCTAGATTTTTGCATTTTTTTGTCAAAGTAAATAATGGTTTTAATAAAAAGCAAATATTGCCTTGAAAAATGTGACCCATGCAGAAATAAACAAAACGGCAGAATGTTGAAAAATTAAAATAAACAAATTGTTCAATATTTTAATCCAAATTTCATTAATGAATATTTTCATCAAATATTTTTCTATCAATCAGTAAAAAGTGAAAGTAAATTTAAGAGACACTCTCTTAAATATAAAAGATATTACTATTTAACAGACATTAAATTAACACAACTGATAATATCATACAGAAACTGTATACCTTTATCAAATGATACACCACATCATGGCAAATCCAACAATTTCACTTCTAATACATTCATCAGTCTGTATGAAATTATATATTGAATAAACAACTTCAATTCAATTAAGTCATCAAAATATCTGATAACAATTCTAAATATACTTAAAACAAGTTCATTTTTTCTTAAAAGAAAGTATCCTGAAAGATCAAATAAAAAACATTTTAATACTGCACACTATAAAATACACTAAGGCAAAGACAAGCTGCAGACACTTGACAACTTCCAGGAAAAACATTACCTCATCTCCATTAACTTCACAATTAATTCAAGTATTACTTCACCAATGTCAAGTTATACACTAACCACATATCCCATAAAAATCAACATTACAAAAACCACTTACAGACAAAAAATACAGCTCCAATATGAAGAAAAAAAGACATTTATTTAACTTAACCTATTTATAGTTGTATTTGTAAGAAAATAATATCATTTTGGAAAGTTTTCTTTTATTTTATTTTAATGATCAACCATACCAGTTGATATGATCCCTTTGCCCTTTCACACCAATAATACAATACATAACAAATATAATAACCATTGTAAAAATACTTACTTAATTAAATCCAAGTACCCAGGTATATCCTTTAAAATCCACTCAAATATTTAAAACATAAATAAGATATCTTAGCTTTTTTTTAAAAAAAGGTTCCTCAGATATTTTTGTTATTTATTTAAGAGATATCTCTTAACACTTCACGGAACCTATTCACTTCAACACAATTTAGTAATAATTAAACAAGCTTTATCTAAGAGGACAGGTTAACTATTCATTACTATATAAACCTATCCCCTTTAAACTTTATGAAACTAAAAAAAAGAACAAACAGATGCTGAATGAACTAATCAAATATCTGTTTCACATCTCACAAAAATTATTATTTCCATTCAAAGTGAATATTTTTCATGAATTAAACATACTATATCTATCAAATTGCCAATAAAGTCACTTAATTGGCTCAAAACTTCCTAAATTACATCATATGTGCGCAATTGAAAATATGGAATTATATTAAGTCTTGCTTCATGGATTTTTACGCGAAAACAAATCAGTGAGCGACTAAGCGTACTAGATATATCAGCTTCACGCTCTATTACTGTTCCTCAATTGTGACAAATGGGATACTGTTAGAAGATGGTAAAATAAAAATATAGAGCAATAACCCTGCTTAAACTGTTAGAAAGTAACGTCAAAATATCTCGCTCACAAAATAAAAACTCTGCTTCATGGTATACAACCAAAAAAGGAGGTCAATTTGATGTAAATATTGCAATTGTTACTCATTTATCAATGACAAATCCAGTGTTCAAGATACAAAGAAGACTACCATGCCACACAAAATAGCTTTCATACAAAAGTAATTATCTACGAAACTCTATACAAGAAGTACTTTATTATTTTTAGGTTTTTGTGCAATTTTAATTCTTCCGAACATAATTTAGTATGTTAAGCTCATTATTGATATAAGTTTATTAATTACACAATTGCCTTCATCCAAGACCAGATGTAATATACAGGAAAAAAATGTAATTCTAGTATACCAAAAAGATAACTATAAATATTATCTAAATTTGTTATGGTAAAACCTGTAAAATTTCTTTCATGTCTTTGACTGAAAGCTGCTCCAAAGCTTATGGCTAAATCATAGTGGTTGTACAAAACTCTTATGTGTCCTTCAATACTGCTCAAAATTATCAAGTTCATTTCAATGACAGATGAATTCAATCTAAAATGTCTCTTACATGAAATCCTTTATGCGAATTGGTTCTAACAATTGTGGAGGAAGACTGATGTTGTTTCAATGGTCAGAGAGAAAATGTAATCAGAATGTATTGAACAATGAAATATCATAGCCAATAACTATAATAACATCTTTGCCAAATGCATGTTAGACACAGCCATGGAATGGAGAACTGACCACTTTAAGAGGGATGTATTGACAAGCTTTCCGGATAAAGTGCTTTAAGACACAAATTAGGGTATCAATTGCTGCCTTATATGGAATACAAGGCAATTACTAACATTTCTACAAGGCTATAGACAGTTCATCAAAAGTTCATGGTCAATGTCATAGCATCATGATTCTTTATTAAACCACCAAGGACAATGATAAATTAACAAAATCCAGAAACAAGATGGTCTCATAGAAATAACAATCAGAGTATATAGAGATTATGACTTTTCACCTTACATTTCTTGATAATTTAATTAAGGTGTGGAATAACAAAATGTACATATTAGCAAAAACATCATAGATGCCTTGTTATTACCAATATTAAAGGACTAAGACCAGACTACCAAGCAAGCATATCGACCCTGAATAAATTTTGAGCCTGGTACAGCACTGGACTGTCTTCTGAATGTGATCCCAAGTCTAGAAGAGTATCAGAACATGAAAGGTACATTGTTAATTATTAAGCCTTTTATTAAGCAATAAACCAACATAGAATTCTATTGAGAATTATTTAACGCAAATAAAGTGTTTGATTTGAAGAGCTATGAAGAAATTAGTTAAAATATTAAGCTGTTAAGGACTTTTGAATATGTTTAAGTTTATTTAATCAAAGATTATAGTAAAAGACTAACACTTTCTCAAACTTACTTAATTTGAGGTTTGTAGTATATAGTACAGATCTATATGATAAAGGAGAATAATTAAAATCTGTTATATCTTACTTCACTTCTTTTTTTCAAACAAATGCTGAAAAAGTCATATTGTTACTTATTTCCAGCTTTACTGGTTGAGGGAAACCTCAGAGGTGCCCTTTTCGCATTATTTCAGGAATAAAAGAGCAACTGAGTTAGAACTTGGGAAGTTCTTTAATCTAGCTGAATAGCCTAATACAAAAAAAATCCAAAGTCCATGGAGCGATTCAAACCCAAAAAGATTAGGGATAAGTGGTTTTGAAGTGAGCAACTTTAACCACTCTTTCCACAGAAGACCATTTTAAATATTTTAGAAACTCAAAAGTGAACGTTAGTGAATTCACTATATAAGCTTAAGTAAGTAGCATGATGATTCTGCAAATCAAGATAAAAAACTCTAAAAGATTTTTTGTTTGTTATAGTTTTAGGCATGTTTGTAATAGAATTTCTGATGTTTTAAGGCATGACATTAACCTTATCAGTTCTATTAGATGCTTGTTAGAGCTAGATGGCTTTTCATACAATGCAATCACAAAAATTACTTATAATGGTCTCAGGAATAGCACTTCAGACATAATGCCTTCTAAACAAAATTAACTTCTATTCAAGATATGGTATAAAAATCTATTTTTTGCTCTTTAAATACCATGCTGAATAACTGGATTTGTACAATCGGTCATAGGACTGGTTAAAGTTAACCCATTTAGATAGCCCATTTAATCAATTTGATAACTTTTGAACAACAGCCTTTATCGAACAGACAAATTTTAGCCAGTGGATAATGATTTTATTTGTTGGTTGACTAACCAATGTCTTGAACAACTGGGTCCTGGTAGGCTAAGAGTAAGTATAAAAATTATAGTGGAATCACCACATTTAAACAAAGAAAGAATACTGTTCCTGAAAGCATGAAAACAATTATTTTATATAGTTCTTTACCTCAATACCTCAATGGAAACAATAATTTGATATGTTTTATAAATAAGATAAAAACCATCTATCAAAAAAAGAATACAAAAAGTTAATGTGATGATGAAGAAGATATATCTTATAAATATCTACACACCAGAGATTAAGGATATATCTATTTTCCACCCTCACATCTATAAAATGATAATAATCTTACAGTAAAATCTCCTTTAATAATTTATGATCTAAGACAAGAAAACAAATGTATTTTTTGCCTCCCATCATTTCCTGATGTTCGTACATAAGTGGCAGGCAGTAAAAGATTAACAGTGTGGACATAACGGATAGAAGCCTGGATAAATTCTCCAAGGAAATCTCTGGGAAAACTAAACCCCTGCTAAATGTGATCTTCACAGAAATGTCTGCTCGATAAATCACAGAAGTGAGAAATTAATGCCCACTGAAAACGATGCAAAAGTACTATAGAATACTGTGCAACAATTGTTTCTGTAAATATGCAGAAACATCTACAAGCAAACACCAAGCTCTGGCAGGGATGAAAACAGCTGACTGGAATGATGACAGGCCAGTATGTCACCAGTATGGAGCAAGAGGATCTAGCAACCTTTACAGTCTGACCACACTATACTGTCTGACTAAATTTGGCATGCAATTTTTAACCAAGGATATTTCAAGGTCAATAAAGAGCAATAATTCAGTCAAAGGTCGTGCCTGAGTTATGATTCTCAAAAATTCTCCAAGTTTCCAAGTAAATATCCTCAGTAGTTATAAAGATTAATCAAAAATGCAAAAC